ATTTAGAGAGAGAATAAAAAACCATATTGGTTATTCTGACTTTTGTTAATATGTCTATTATTTTTGTCCGAAAGTCTAAATTAGATGAAGGATTGATGAAAACTGAAAACAACCTGACGTATGGGGATTGATGTGTTTCAATCCAGTTGGGACTAGGTGCCAGCGATACACTACCTTCCTAGTTGTTTCAACGTGTGTTGTACAGAGAGTTAAGTGTTTGCTAGCTGAAAATATGCTTGACCACTGTTGTTCTTCCAGCTGCTTTTTGAAGTCTGATACCCAAGCCAAAATTAAACTTAGTTTCGTTATGTTGTGTTTTTGTATGATTTCATGGTATAGTTGTGACATGAGTTTTAGTCGGTGGCTTCGCTTGTGTGCATAATTTTTCGATAGTAGTCAGTTGCCACTCTTGTCCTGGTGCCGTGTTTGGATGTTTATTGAACCAAGATTGTATTTGCATATACCTGAACCTTAGGATGGCAGGGATTTTATATTTTTTCTGTATATGGTCGAAGGAGTCGAGTTTGTTGTTGTCTACTATTTGATTTAGGGAGGGGATGACGTGTTTAGTCCATTCTTTAGTATTAAATTGGGGTATAAGTGTTGTTAGAGCCTTAATGAGGGGACTAAGGATTGAGGCTGAATAATATGTTTCTATGTGTGGGATTCCCATACCTCCTTTTTTAAAAGACCTGTATAATGTAGATGCTGCTACTCTTGGTTTTTTGTGTTGCCATATAAAGGTGTTAAGTGTGCGTATTTTGTAGAAATGTCTTGGGGAGTTTAATTGGTAGGTTACAGAACAGGTATTGCAACTAGTATCATTTTGTTGCCGCTATGCGGCCCAACCAGGAGACATACTTGCCCGGCCACCCCATGATTTGACTTTTTAGTTTATTTACCAATTTAATGTAATTGATGTGTAGTAGTGCTTGTGAGGTGGCCGTGAAAGCCACTCCAAGGAAGGTTAGGTTGTCAGAGCGCCATTCATATTTGTATGTTTTCCTCAGGGTTTATAGAGTGTGAGGTGGTATATGTATACCTAACGCTTGTGTTTTCATGATGTTTAATTTGTAATGGGAGCAAGCGCTGTATTTGGCAAGTATGTCATGTAGATGTGGGAGAGTCGTATCTGGGTTTTCTAATGAGAGCATGATGTCATCAGCAAACCGTAATTTTATGTTCCGTGCTACCTATGTGTATCCCCTTAATATTCTCATTCTGAAGTATATGTTGTGCCAGAGGTTCTAATACCAGGATGTATAGTAGAGGCGACAGCGGACACCCCTGTCGTGAGCCATTTGTAATTTTAAAAGCTGACGAGGTAAACCCACTGTTTGACACTCATGCTGACGGGGTTAAGTACAGCGCTGATATCAAGGATTTGAAGTTCGGCGGAAGGCCAAGCTTCCGCAGCACTGCCCCTAGGAATCCCCAGTGCACCCTGTCAAACGCTTTCTCTGCGTCTAGTGAAAGGAAAACCCCGGGTCTTCACGAGGCCCGTGCTACGCTCAATAAATTCATCAGCTTTCTAGTGCCATCCGATCCCCTTATGAATCCCACTTGGTCTCTGTGTACCACTGATGAAATTATATTTGAGAGTCTGTTTGCATAGATTTTTGCCAGGAGTTTTGTATCTGTATTTAATAATGAGATGGGCCTGAGGTTTTGGGGTTTATTGGGTGGCTTCCCCAGTTTGGGCAAGGTTGCGATGTGTGCCTCCAACATCGCTGATGGCATGTGGCCAGTAGTTATGATTTTGTTGAAGGTTTCTTCTATATGGGGAATTAGTACCTGACTGAAGTTTTTGTAATAGCTATTTGTAAAGCCGTCTGGGCCTGGTGATTTGCCCTGCGGTAGGGAATGGATGGCTTTCTCTATTTCTAGGCGTGAGATGGGATTTTGAAGTAGTTCTTGCTGTGTTGGGTTGAGCTTTGGTAGGTTGGCCTGAGCTAGAAATTCTTGTATTTCGTGGTCAGTGGGTTGGTGAGTATTGTGATCCATTGCTAAGTTGTAGAGCTTGGTGTAAAAGTCCGCCATATTGTCATTTATGTGTTGTGGATTTATTATTTTTGTTTCATTTGGAGAGATCATGTGATGTATTTTGGATTGTGCTTGGGTTTGTCTGAGTAGTGATGCTAGAGCTTTCCCAGATTCTGTGTTCAGCGAAGTCTCCTGCGTATAACAGTGCTCCCCATCTACCGGTTTTATAGTGTTTTTGAAAGTTACAGAGTCAAATATAAGGCTTGCCCATTTCATTTTTTTTTCATTGAAATTTGCCAAGTTGGTTATGTTGGCCAGTGTTTGTGACTAAGTGGCTGCTAAAAAAGACTGGACATATCCCATATTGAATACCCTGGGTTGTCTACTTTTGCAAATGGTATGCTATCATGTGTGTAATTCTAATTTCTGAGCTACTATACAGTGTCAAAGGCAACATAACCAGTCTGGCAAATTACAATGTGTATAAACTGAAAAGTAAACCGTGCTATATTTGACTCTATATTTTAACTTTTCAAAACATAAAACCTGTACTGTTGTACTTGTCATCAGGGATGTGCATGGGCAAAACGTTCGGTTCGCACCTCCAAAATTCGAGGCTAGGCCTCGTAAGCATACAAAACATCAACACTTCCAAGGGTTTTTCAGGTCTTGAGGCAGACACATACACATACATTCTCTCTTTTCCTTTTATTATCTTATTGATTCTTATTAGACAAATCACAATTATTTTGAAAAAAGAAGATAGAGAAGTTGAGCAACCACATTGTTAATCTGTGGCTAAGAGTGTAGTTTCCCCTTCATGATTATGAAAGGGATTGTTGGACAGCATTCATAGCAGTGATCATCTTTGTGGTAATACTTGTCTCTCATTAGAACACCAATTCCTCCAGGTCCCAATCCCAGGAAGATGGAGGTTCTGACAGTGGTCTCTATGGAGAAGACAACATGTGAGTAACTCTAGAGAAAAAAGTTATTGCAAATAAAATTTACTAAAATAAAACAAGTCTTCTAATTTAATAGACTGAAAAGAAAAACAAAACAAAAATAAAACGGGGACCAAAATGAGCAATATGAGATGTGCAGAGGAGAAGGGAAGTCTTTTTATTCCCTACCTTAATTTATTATATTAGATCATTTAGACCGGCTTTTCTCTCCAGATTCAACAATAAAAATGCCAAATCAAATCAGTGAATGCTAGCATTAAGTGTTAAAAAATAAAAATAAAAACGTTATATAACTTTATAGAGGAGGGGAAAAAAAGACCATCAATACCTTTTTCTGTTTTCAAGCTGTGTCAAAGTCGTTTCACTTTCCATTGTAAGGGAGGTTATATTAATCATCTTTAAAAAATAAATATTTACTTTTAGCTGTAAACAAATATTTGCTAGACTCACATTTTCATTTATCACAAATGAATGTAGAAAGGTCTGTAAAATCATGTACATTACCTGGACTAGAAAATCAATACATTTCACATTATACCAGTTGACTTCAAGGTAGCAATCCTAAAATCTCATTATGAATGCACACAGAGAAGGCTGGAGAAAGAGAAAACCAATTTTTAAACAAAATATACTGAGCAATGTTTTTAAAGTGGCAAACTGGATTGGAATATAGCCATTCATTATTTTTAGTTTTACTTTGTTTAGTTTTTCTGTATAAAAAAATGTATTAAAAATTGGACATGAATTAGAAATAATAGTAATAAGAGAAAAAAATATATAAAAGAAAGTTACTCACTTTTAAAGTTCTTGTCTTTTGTGCAAATGTTCACACATTACATGAAAGCTGATCTTTACCCCTGCTAGGAAGTAGTTTATCCAATCAGCAGCCTCTCATACAGGTTCATTGGACTGCAGGTGTTAAAATACAGATTAAAACACACTGTGCCTGGGTAAGAGCTAACTCTTTGCACATACTCTGTTCTGCTTAGATAAGAGACTTTTTATTCAGTTATCAGATAATTATTTAGGCAAGGGTTAGACAACCTTTGTCACTCCAGATGTGGACTACATTTCCCTTGATGCTTTGTCAGCATTATGGCTGTAAGAGGATTATGGGAGATGTAGTTTACAACAATGTGAATGCTGATGGTTGCCTACCCCTGAATTAGGCCAAAACTAAATGCATAAATGTTGCGTGGGTGTTCCTTTAAGCAACCCGATAGTCACAGATATTTGGGGTTACGTGTTTAAAAATGAATAAAATAAGACAGCACCCAGGACCTGCAGACATCATGAAACATCATTGAAATAAAAGTTATGTTGCCCAAAGTGCCCCTTTAACACCCTGAATCTACACAAATATTTTATGGCAGCATCAACAAGCTAAGCAAATGAGCTATTCTACTAATAAAACTAGTTACGGGTTTATTCACTAAAACCAGATTTGCTTTGGATTTAAAACCTAATAGCCAAATGTGTAACAATAGCAAAGTTTTACATTTCTTCCAAATCTGCAGTTTCTGCTTAAATTTTACAATTCAATTTTTAATTTACATAGTTAATTCAGTCTTTAGTAAATTAAGCCTCTCTCTTCACACCTTTGTAAGGTGTCAAAGTGCTTGAGAACTGATTGACTTCTTCCCAGTGGTCTAGCGGGCACAGCTCCCTGCCTTACTACTTGTGCCAGAGAGCCAGAAACTCTCTCTCTAAACTAAACTTGTGGGTCAGCTCATCGGCTGAGAGGCATCAGCTGATGCTCTCAGTCTAAGCTAGACCTACACTGAAGGGCTTAGCTCAGTAGAGCTAAGTAAACGATTGCTTAGAAGCTCCTTATTCTTTGGTGGATGTAAAGACCGAGTAAAGGCATGGGCAGCACTTAGCGGACCTCAGGTATGAAATTAAACCTTTCTAAAATTAGTTTAGTATAAGGCTATGCATTTGAGGAAATGTTTCTTTTTTTTTTTTTATTTACAAACATTACTTTGGGATAATGTATCTTCTATTTTTAAGTAAATAGTGACCTACCTGCACCCTGAGTCCACTATAAACATTTTATTCCAAGAATGCCTGTTTGTAATAAGACAAAAAGCCATCACATATGTCCTTTATTTCTTGGGAACGTGTTTCAAGTGCCTCGTTTTGGTGCCACAAACATTCTGTCTTTTTGCTATCAATCATTGTTGGTTCTTTTACACCACCAACTGAGCCAATGCGTGCCTCCAAAATACTTTTCTTTGCCACAAATGGTCTTCCGCTTTTCAACTCCTGGCCAGTTACCCTTCTACTTTGGGGACATGTTTGGAAAATATTTCCAGGCCTCCTTTTCTCCACCTTCGGGAAAGCTTCCCTACCACTGCGGTGAGATGTTTCCACAATATTTTCTGGTCTCCTATTCCTCATCTCTGGGACAGCTTCCCTTGCAATGCGGCAAGATGTTGCCACAATTTTTCCAGTTCTTCTGCTCCCTAACTTTGGAATAGCTTTGTTTCCACTGCGGAGAGATCTTTCAGTAATATTGCCTGGTCTCCTGCTGCACACCTCCGGGAGAACTTCCCCAATTTTTCCTGCTCTTTTGTTCCCCAACTCTCGAATAGCTTCCCTTCCACTGCAGAGAGATTTTTCTGTACTAATTCCTGGTCTCCTGCTTCTCATCTCTTGGACAACTTCCTTTCCACTGCAATGAGCTGTTTCCACATTTTTTCCTGATCTCCTGCTCATTACCCCTGCAGAAGCTGCCCTTCCACTGTGGAGAGATGTTTCCAAAATGTTTCCAGATTTCCTTCTACCCAGCTCCAGGACTTTGTCTTTTCCACTGCAACAAGATGGTTTTGCAATTTTTGGTCTTCTGTTCACCAACTCTGGGACAGCTTTTACAGCACTCTTCTGATGCATCTTTGAAATTTCAACTAACTTGTTTGTCTTCTCCTGGTACTTTATCATGGTTTGGGTTAAAAGAGGCAGCTTTTCCTCATACACCTCTGTATTCTGATGGGGTCCACTGCTGCTCTTTCCATACATTGCAGGCTTCTTTGTATAAAGATGTTTAGACAGGGCTTTATTCATGACCTTGTATGTCAGTAAAGGGCCATATCACTGCCATGTGTCTTGCCAGGGGAATAGTCTTACAAAAAACACTCTCCTTTCTTCCTCCTTGTCCTTAACCCAATGAAAGATCTCCTCATCATATGGGTTAGCTCTGGTAAGTTTTTCTTTTTTCTCCACTCTTACACTCCACACTAACTAAAGAAAGCAAGTCTGCAATCAAATTGCTCTTGATTTTTAAATTGAGGAAATGATCACAACTTACAGATGGAGAGGTGTTAACCTCCAGCAGCCAGGGACTCAGGTTCTCATCGATCAATACATCAAAGCCATAGAGTTCAAAACAGTTTATTTTGTTAGGAAGTGTATATCTGCATGACAAGGTAATAGTTTCTTCTGCAGATATAATTGCTTTGATGACAAGATCCTCTATATTGGAGATGAGGGTTGCTGTGTCTTTACCGTTCTTCTTTAAGTAACGCAACAGAGCACTGAAGCTCCACTGACTGCCACAGTCTTCAACATCTGGATTCTGACTTCTCACAAAGGATGCACTCTCCTTGTTTACACTGTAGTTGGTTAAATGCATAAACCTGTTGCTCAAGGTCTTTTCTGTCAGTCCGTACTTTTCAGTTGCAAACCTTATATAAATAAATAATTAATGGATCATAACATGTGACCAGCACGTAGAGGCGGAGATCAAATTTAAGCCCATCTATGAGGAGGGGGTTACTGATATATTTGGAGAACAGGATCTTATCTTTCCCCATCATTTTCGGTGGATTTTTAATAAGGTTTATTCCACGACCCTCACATGAAGACACTGGTTTTGTAATCCAAATACCTCGATCTTTTAATAAAGCTTTGCAGAATTCCCGGTACTGGCCAGGAAGCACATAGCTCTCGGGCAGGAAGTCAAAACTGTGGTTGCTGTGTTTTTTCTTCAGCTTTTGAAGATTTTGGTACAGTTGATCCTTGTGGCCCAGGGCATTCGATTTGGGGAAGTGATTAATTTGCTGAAAGCTGGAAAGGTTTGCTATAAGACTAAGTTTCTGGAGGGGCCCTGTCCACAGCACATTGAAATTTGTGCTGGTGGCTTCAACCTCCTGGAAGCCATGAGTGCACAGAATGTCTTTAATCAGGCGACATCCTCCAATTCCCATCTTATATGAAAGGTGGTAACGTTCCCCCACCTCGTGAGGACATGGCTCTCCACTGACAGCTTTTGGTCTAAATCTCACAATTGGAGTTTGGCTAAAACACACAGTGCCCGGCATGTAGGACTTATCCTCCTGGTGCTCCATTTCCTGGCACTCAGTAGGCTCTCTGTTTTGTTTCTGCTGTCTATCCATCTTAAGTTTGACAGATATCAGAATCTATATAATATGAAATAAGACAATGTTTGCTGCTCTGTAAGCCTCCTGCTCTGTCTCTTCCTGTACAGTGCAATGAAGGTGCGCAGCATCAGAACTTTGTTTGTGAGGTTGATTGTGAGGTCAGTGATGCATTGATAAGGTGGGAGCAGCTTGAAGGAGAGGAGGGATGGTTAAAAATAATTAAAAATCACCATTTAGTAGACATACACCAAATGAAAACATTCATGCATTTAATTATGCTTTTTTTTTTGTGGGTAAAACAGCTTGCAAAATCTGCAGTTCTCTAGTCTGCAGCCCTTCGCAAATCCTCTTTCTAACTCTGCCCTGACTTTCTGTGACTGTCCAATGCAGCTCAATGAAAAGTCTTTGCAAGGCAGGTGCTCTGAACAAATGCGGCCTCTTGAGTTTAGATCCACCGAGCTCAGGGCCGGTGCAAGAATTTTTGCCGCCATAGGCAAAAAAGATGTTGCCGCCCCCATTCACTTTTTAAACATTTTATTTATCTTTTTAAACATTGAATCATTGTAGGGACAGAAACACTATAGTGTTAGGAATACAGGTTTATATTCCAAACCCTATAGTGTCCGATTAAAAGTATTGTTTTTTTTATATTTGAGATTAAAACTGTCATTAATGCACAAATGCAATCACTGGCGCATACATACATACATACAGGCTCACAATAAGTGACCCATGCGCACACAGATTCACTGACCTATGCGAACTGACACACACATACACTGACCCATGAGGACTGATACCTACACTTACCCATGCACAGACGCACGCGCACACACACACACACACACACATTGAACCATGCAAGCACACACACTGACCTATGCAGACACAAACACACACTAATCCATGCAGTCACACACAGAGTGACCCATGCAGTCACACACAAACTGATCCATGCAGTAACACACACACACACACACGGACACATGCAGACTGACACACACTGATCCAAGCAGACTGACACACTAACCCATGCGGATACACATACACTGATCCATGCAGACACACACACACAGATCTATGTAGACACACACACACACTGATCCATGCAGACATACACAAATCCACGCAGACACACACACTGACTCATGCAGACTGACTCAGACCCGTGCATACTGACACACACACACTGATCTGACCCATGCAGGCCGACACACACACACACACACACACACACTGATCTATACAGATACATACACACATTGAGCCATGCAGACACACACACACACACACACTGATCCATGCAGACTGACACACAGTGATACATGCACAGACACACTGATCCATGCAGTCACACACAGACTGATCCATGCAGTCACACACAGACTGATCCATGCAATCACACACACAGACACATGCAGACTCACACACACACTGATCTATGCAGACACACACAAACACACTGACACACACACTGATACATACATCCACTTCCTACATCCCTCCCTCCCATGTCCCCACGCACAGGGCAGGGGGTGGAGCACCATCCTTCTTTAGATATAGTCAGGTCCATAAATATTGGGATATCGACACAATTCTAATCGTTTTGGCTCTATACACCAACACAATGGGTTTGAAATGAAACAAACAAGATGTGCTTTAACTGCAGACTTTCAGCTTTAATTTGAGGGTATTTACATCCAAATCAGGTGAACGGTGTAGGAATTACAACAGTTTGTTTATGTGCCTCCCACTTTTTAAGGGACCAAAAGTAATGGGACAGATCAACAGTCATAAATCAAACTTTCACTTTTTAATACATGGTTGCAAATCATTTGCAGTCAATTACAGCCTGAAGTCTGGAACACAGAGACATCACCAGACGCTGGGTTTCATCCCTGGTGTTGCTCTGCCAGGCCTCTACTGCAACTGTCTTCAGTTCCTGCTTGTTCTTGGGGCATTTTCCCTTCAGTTTTGTCTTCATAAAGTGACATGCATGTTCAATCGGATTCAGGTCAGGTGATTGACTTGGCCATTGCATAACATTCCACTTCTTTCCCTTAAAAAACTCTCTGGTTGTTTTTGCAGTATGCTTCGGGCCATTGTCCATCTGCACTGTGAAGTGCCGTCCAATGAGTTCTGAAGCATTTGGCTGAATATGAGCAGATAATATTGCCCGAAACACTTCAGAATTCATCCTGCTGCTTTTGTCAGCAGTCACATCATCAATAAATACAAGAGAACCAGTTCCATTGGCAGCCATACATGCCCACGCCATGACACTACCACCACCATCATGCTTCACTGATGAGGTGGTATGCTTTGGATCATGAGCAGTTCCTTTCCTTCTCCATACTCTTCTCTTCCCGTCACTCTGGTACAAGTTGATCTTGGTCTCATATGTCCATAGTATGTTGTTCCAGAACTGTGAAGGCTTTTTTATATGTTGTTTGGCAAACTCTAATCTGGCCTTCCTGTTTTTGAGGCTCACCAATGGTTTACTTCTTGTGTTGAACCCTCTGTATTCACTCTGGTGAAGTCTTCTCTTGATTGTTGACTTTGACACATATACACCTACCTCCTGGAGAGTGTTCTTGATCTGGCCAACTGTTGTGAAGGGTGTTTTCTTCACCAGGGAAAGAATTCTTCGGTCATCCACCACAGTTGTTTTCCGTGGTCTTCCGGGTCTTTTGGTGTTGCTGAGCTCACCGGTGTGTTCTTTCTTTTTAAGGATGTTCCAAACAGTTGATTTGGCCACGCCTAATGTTTTTGATATCTCTATGATGGGTTTGTTTTGTTTTTTCAGCCTAATGATGGCTTGCTTCACTGATAGTGACAGCTCTTTGGATCTCATATTGAGAGTTGACAGCAACAGATTCCAAATGCAAATAGCACACTTGAAATTAACTCTGGACCTTTTATCTGCTCCTTGTAAATGGGATAATGAGGGAATAACACACACCTGGCCATGGAACAGCTGAGCAGCCAATTGTCCCATTACTTTTGGTCCCTTGAAAAGTGGGAGGCACATATACAAACTGTTGTAATTCCTACACTGTTCACCTGATTTGGATGTAAATACCCTCAAATTAAAGCTGAAAGTCTGCAGTTAGAGCTCATTTCAAATCCATTGTGGTGGTGTATAGAACCAAAAAGATTAGAATTGTGTTGATGTCCCAATATTTATGGACCTGACTGTATATCTATCTTGTTGTTGCAACTGTTTTACTTTGTTCATGTGTGCCTCTATGGGGTCATGGGAGTCCTCAACCCAGGTACAGCATTCTGAGCCTATGATAGCACAAGTTCCCTCTTCTATAGCTAGCAGATAATTGAGAGCCATTCTGTTCCGTAGGGCAACTTTTCTGACTTGGGCTAACTCTTCATTTAGGGCATGGATAGAACTTGTGGTTTCATTAATAATCCCATCCATGATACTAGCATATTTATTTATCTTATTTACTAATTCGACTCCCCAACCTGTCCAAGAGGGGAACCACATCCAGGCTTTATCTGCAGATGAGAATAGTTCTCGTTTATACCTAGTTCCCCCTTGGTATATTTTAAACAATGGGATAATTGAGCATGGTCTAATGGCTGGTACAACTCTTCCTATGGTACAGTTACCCCATGCTCCCATGGGAAGCCACTAGTAGGTATTATTGCCACAAATGTAATAGAGTCCTTGTCTCACGACCCTGGGAATTATCTTACCATGATTTCCCAGCCACTTTTTAAACCATACCATATTGTAGTGCACATGACTTTGACAGCTCCACTCATCTTCGTCTGTTTGTTCAGGGCAAGCACACCTGGGGGCACACAAAGCTTTCAATGTTGGGCAAAAACATAAGCTGTTACAACCCGCATCTACCATATCGCATGGTGCACCATTAGATTTCATGTTAAAAGTTAAGGTAGCATTTCTACAATCTGTTTCCCCGACATGTACCTCGGGTAAACTGGCAAAGTGACCTTTTATTTTTGCTATGTGATTTACATACATGGACCCCAGACATATTGTAAGTGGAGAGATTATACCAGCAATTTCTAAATATGTCCCTTGATCTGAAAGAGTATCTACATCTATTTGAACCTCATAACTATAATCTGTTAAATTCAAATCATTCATTGATATTGGTACACCAATTAAAGGGATTCCTTTATGAGTGGCAGGAATATGGGAACATATCCAGCAGTCAGTAGCATTCAGCTGCTTGGCAGTTTGTTGATGTAGAAGCCAGATGGAATGTGTCTGCTTCCTGCTGTCCACCTGTGCGTGAAGGTATAAAACACAGAAAAACCAGCAGGGCAGTACATGCATTTTGACAGTTTGTTAATCCTTTTTGTCCCCAGTGGCCTCACCCTTTGAACACAAGTTTTTATCACTGACCTGGAAATATACTAGCTTACAGTGGGAAGCGTGAATCCAGTTTGGTTTCCCTTTCACCTTGACTGAGGTGGGTGTGGTCAGTAATACCTAGTATGGTCCATCAAATCGGACCTCTAAATGTCTCCTCACGTATCTCCTTATTACCACCCAGTCTCCAGGGTGCAGGTGGTGAGTTCCTTTTGTTTCTTCTGGATCTGGCAATGAAGAGAAAACTTTTCCATGCAATTTAGTCAGTTGCCTGTGCAGCTGGACAACATAATCAGTTAAAGAAGCATACTGTCCATGTAATTCTTGTGGAAAGAAAATACCTGTCAGTGGTGGTCTGCCAAACTATATCTCAAATGGCGAAAGGCAATGTTTTCCCTATGGGGTGTGCCTCACTGCAAAAAGGGCTAATGGTAAGGCTTGTACCCGAGTAAGGTTGGTCTGCTCACAGATCTTAGCTATTTTATTTTTTTAAAACACCATTTGCTCTCTCTACTTTCCCAGATGATTGTTGAAGGTAAGAAGTATGTAGATGCTGGTTAATCTGCAACCCTGTCATTATTTCTGCAAACACTTGCCCAGTAAAATGAGTACCTCGATCAGACTCCATTGTCTCAGGTAGACCATATCTGCACACAATTTCAGATATTAGCCTTTAAGCTGTCACACTTGCTGTTGCCTTGGCAACTGGCCAAGCCTCCACCCAGGAGGAGAACATATCCACACATACCAAAACATACTCATAGACACCACATTTGGGTAGCTGGATGTAGTCTATTTGCAATCTTTGGAACTGGTAGTCAGACTTTACAAGATGTTTTATCTCTACCTTTGTCATTTTGCCTGGATTGTATTTAGCACAGATCGTGCATTTCTTACACCACTCAGTTGCAAATTGTGAGAAACCTGGTGCAAACCAACATTTATTGACACTCGCAATCATTCCCCCTTTGGAAACATGAGATAAACTGGCTAGAACAGGATATAGAACTGGGGGTGCACACAATCGACCATCCATATGTTTCCAACCATCATTCTCCAGCTTGCAACCAGGATTTTTCCACTTGCTCTGAGTTTGGGAACCTGTTTGGTTTTGGATGATCTTTAAG